GAGCACATCCAATTTTCCTTCTCCATGTCCTGTCAACTGCTAGGTGATCTTTACATCATTGGAGCACGGCAAAGGTGAGAGAGTCTTCTATCAGAGCCACTAAACTATTTGATAGATCAGACAGAACAAGTGTGTGATAGCTAAGGAAGGGAAGAAACCGCGCAGCAGCCAAGACAGCAAGGCTTCACCTGACCACAGCAGGCAGCATTCAGACAAGCTGACAACTTCTCCGACCGCTTAGGCTTCTACGGCAAGATGGAGCCCAGAAAAAAATCCCCCAGGGAGAGATTTCCAAAGAGTTTCTGGCGAAAGCAAGGCAAGTGCTATGAACATGAGAACAAGGAGACACGTATGTTTTCAGAGGAGCTTTTAAGTCCTGATGCCAATGCAGCTCTTCCTCAGAAGAGGCAAAAAGTTGTGATCCTGGTACCGGAGGCAGGTGCTTGGTGTCTTGCCTGGACTAAGAACAAATCCTATGTGCAATATCTTGCAATTTGATCACTAAAATATTTTAACTCAGAAGCTTGACAGAATCAACACTACTCACTCCCTTGCTCCTCCAGATCGATAACTTCTGGTCTTTCAAGTAACGAGGGGAGGGAATGACACCATGAGCTGATAGAAAGGTCAGTTTAGACGTCTGCTAACGTCTCCAGCATCGTGATGTCTGCATGCACTGACTTAAAACAAGAAGCTTTGACCAGCAGTAACCGACACGCAGCAAAGCAGAGGGCAGCACACAAAGATTTTCCAAACGCCTTCTCTCTCCGAAATACCCGAGGGGTAAGGATGCACAGTTCCCTCAACTTCACTGCATCGCAGGGTGCCTCACATACGAAAACAATTCGTGCTGCCATTCCCTGAGTGATTATACTCACGTTCCCTTTCTGTAAACGCTTCCATTTGGGGAACAAAGTCATGGGTAAATGGCTGCGTGGTGACTTCAGCGCAGCTTACCCTGCACTTCTGATTGCCTCACCTGCTTTAGCAAAAAGGTTGAGATGGCTTCTGGAGATAAACTGCTATATCACGCTGGTAATAAAATCTGCCAGAGATTAATAACAGCTTAAAAACCTTCGCTGAGCTGAGCCAAAATCTGAGCACAGGACAAGAACAGACAATAACAGGGCAGAAGGGAAGAAATAACTGAGTTGCGGGGAAGATGGGAGTCCTGCTGCGTTAACAGTCCCAGGGAACACAGCACTAGATTTATACTAGAAGGAAAAAGGTGATTGATATTAATTTGTGCTGCCCCTGGACCACCTTGGAATTCAAAGCCAGAGCCGTAAGTCATCACTGATCCCAAGCAATTTTTATACCGTTAAATTTAAGAGGCTTTGGCCATTCTTTAAATCTGTTCAAAGGCGCTTAGGAAGAATATTGAAACCATGTATAATGAAGTACCCAAATTTTTAGGCATTAAAATACTTCCGATATTGCATTCAGATGTGAAAGACACCATCTCTAAGAGTTAAGCAATCACACTGGCCTTTCAGAACTCAGCCTGCACGGGTGAAAGCTTGGTTCACACGCACGGTGCTTAGCCCCAGCACAAAAAGGCAGTGCTTGACTTGGCTGAAGCACCTGAAATCTAGCCCGGCTTTTATAAACGCTTTCAGCTCCACGCTACTGACAGAAGATTAATTGGTCAGGAAGTCAAGAAGGAACACATGCAATCTGAACCTTCCTTGGCTAATCACATAAGAGGAAGAACAAAAGCCGTTCCTTACTGCAAAAAACCTTTTCCAGTACCCCTGAGATCACAATATATAGGTACCGCACCGCTGCCGCAGTACATTTGGATTTATTTTTGAAAGGTTTTTCAGCCATGAAAACAACTGGAGCCAGGGCAGAGGTAGGCACTGCCAGAAAGCAGTTCGTCCCAGCTGCTTCAGCCAGCAACCCCCACGTTGCCCCTGCAGCTCCTCTTTCTCTGCTTGACTCCTGATGGAGCTCCGACAGCGATGGGAGAGGGCGCCGAACTTTCAGAGGATATTCATCTCAGCCAACATGTGTTCGAAACCGGTGAGTGTCATGTGGCAGAATCATGCACCGAGGAGCGCAGAGCCTTCATTTCTAAGGATAAAGATTAAACTAGAAACATATTTTGAACTGTCATCAGCTGCTAGATCAAAGAGTCCGACAACACTTCAAGGCTTATTTTGCAGCCTTCTAGAAACTTTGATTTAACGTTGCTGGAGATAATGAGCTGAAAGAGCACCGCTAACGCAGAAACGTGTCATAACTCATCCTGTACACAGACAATTCTACCTAAAAGACATGCTTCTGGTGCTCTGGAAAGAATCATAAAGCAAAACTGCTCGGGAAGGATGGGTTTTCTTCATCACAGGACAACAGGGATGGAAAAAGGACCCATTCCAGCTGCAGTAAGTAAGCGAACCCACTCAGGAGTGTTTTAAGAGTTGTGGCATAAGCAGGTAGATCACAAAACTGCACAAAAGTATTCCTGTCCCCTCTCAGAACAAAGCATCATCATCCCCATGAAAAGAAAAAGCAAACCCAGGAGGAACAGAACAAAAAACCACTTTTTGATCAGATGGGAAGGTGCTGCCACCTGCAGATGAAAGACAGCAAAGCCACCTTGAACTACAAGCAATCCGGATGCTCACCGTCCCTTCCTTAAACGCCTGCCTTCATCCGGAGATTGAACCCAACAGCTTAAACGCTTTGTCTCAAGGGGTTTTAGAGTTTGTTTGGGTTTTTTTTTTTTTTGAATCTTTTCCCCCCTTTCATAGCAACAGCCTGCATTGCTTGTTCCTAAACACAGATCCGTGCTGGGTGTGCTAAAACATAATGTATATGAGCAGGCTTGGATTTATACTGGCTACCTGATGGAAGAGTTGGCAGACATCTCTTGCTACGTCTTAGTAAAATGGGCTCTTTCATTAAATTTCACAGTTAATCCTGGAGTTATTAAAAACTAAGAGCAACAGGGTAGAGATCTCCCTCTGTTAACTCAAATTGTAGGATGGCTGGGTGCCAGTTAGCTGGAAAAAATGCACAAGAAGAAATGATAAGCATTTGTGACTGTAATATAACCAGTAGCTGCTAAAAACTTAAAAGCTTTGTCTTAACAGTTACTGCAATAGCACTGATTTCTATATGTTTTGGCCATGTTCGGATCCCTAAAAGCTGTGGGCTGGTGGACGGAAGAGACACTATCTGAGCAGGATGACAGCGTTAAGGGCAAACTCACGGTCGTTCCGGAGGTTACAAATTCCTCAGTGAATGCAGACTAAAGGCTTCTCATTCTGCATTTCACGTCTAGTTCTGACTGCTACTATCAAGAAGTGACAGAAATGATGGTTTAAAACGAGGTTCGCTTCAATATTTTGAATCAATTTTTATATTCTTAAATGCTGTAGGTGTCACATCTACTTAATTATCTTTGTGGAAGAAAGCTATTATTACTGAGGGTACAAGCGTGGTACATAACAAATAAGTTAACGATACACATTCCCAGTTGCTTCATTCTATGGAAAATGAAGAGTCTCTCTGAGCTAGACAAAGAAAAAGAGAGCTTTATGCTTTGTTCTACGGTCTAGTTCAAGTTTCTATCAAAACTCTTCTTTTTTTACCATAATGTGACGTTATATGGTAAGATGGCTCTATGTGGCACGTTACAGGAACATTATGTTAACAACAGGAAGTGTTCAGTGTCACTGAGTCATTTAAAATGAGATCTTTTGACACAGATTGCCTTCTCCTTTCCC